AACAAACTGCAGATTCTAACCATAGCCAAAACACTGCCTTTGTAGCAAAGGCAATGTTTGTTTATAAAACAATGGTGAGAAATTTACGTGATATTAACGCGATATCAACTACAGCCCTGCTCAGCCAAGTTGGGGTTGTTTTCTCAAAAAATTACCACAAGCCAGCCGTCAACAAATAAATAATTATTCATTTTTTACATAGTTGCCCGATGTCTCCAGCATCTTTTACACTAAAATTTTCTACACTGAGGGCGTGTTTCGAGTTCCAGTGAGGTCAAAACCAGAGCTGGCATGCATCAAAATACTGCTCAACCCGGGGACAGTGCAAGGCTTCCTCCCATGCGAAATTTTTTTAACCATTTATTTTAGGCTGTGGTCTAATGGTGATAAGTCTGGATTGTTTGTCATCCTAACCTCTTGTGAATCATGCCTAACATGCATGAATTTCAATCAAGCCAGCGTGACCTTTTCAGTTGGACTGAGAGCACTGTCAAAGTGGAAGGTGGCCTGCTCTTCGAGCTCACAGTACAGTCGCGGAAGGCCGCAGGCAATCGTTCTTGATAAGATTTTTTTACCACTACTGATCGTTAGTTTCAAATGTTTCGTTCATAAAAAAACCTGAAACAGTTAAATGCAACAAAATTAAACGGCACGCATAATCTTTTTTTGCGATCTGCTTTGGTGGAGTTATTTGCAGTCGTCCCGGCACTTCCGTTTCCCCACCGGTGCGCTGGATATTTATCGGTAAATCAAAACTGACTAACAACACTCATGTCTTGTCTGTAAAACATATCAGTCCATGGGCACCTACATCCGTCAGCTAGGCAACCATATTCTACTACTATATTCTATTCTATTCTAATGTCCCCCATGCCGGACAACCAATAATTTCATTCCGGCAATAATGTCCCCATGCCGACACCAATAATTTCATTCCGGCAATACTGTCCCCCATGCCGGACACCAACAATTTCATTCCGGCAATAATGTCCCCCATGCCGGACACCAACAATTTCATTCCGGCAATAATGTCCCTCATGCCGGACACCAACAATTTCATTCCGGCAATAATGTCCCCCATGCCGGACACCAATAATTTCATTCCGGCAATAATGTCCCCATGCCGGACACCAACAATTTCATTCCGGCAATATGTCCCCATGCCGGACACCAATAATTTCATTCCGGCAATAATGTCCCCTATGCCGGACACCAATAATTTCATTCCGGCAATAATGTCCCCATGCCGGACACCAATAATTTCATTCCGGCAATAATGTCCCCATGCCGGACACCAACAATTTCATTCCGGCAATAATGTCCCATGCCGACACCAGTAATTTCATTCCGGCAATAATGTCCCCATGCCGGACACCAATAATTTCATTCCGGCAATAATGTCCCCATGCCGGACACCAACAATTTCATTCCGGCAATGTCCCCATGCCGGACACCAACAATTTCATTCCGCACTAATGTCCCCATGCCGGACACCAGTAATTTCATTCCGGCAATAATGTCCCCATGCCGGACACCAGTAATTTCATTCCGGCAATAATGTCCCCAATGCCGGACACCAGTAATTTCATTCCGGCAATAATGTCCCCATGCCGGACACCAATAATTTCATTCCGGCAATAATGTCCCCATGCCGGACACCAACAATTTCATTCCGGCAATAATGTCCCCATGCGGACACCAACAATTTCATTCCGGCAATAATGTCTCCATGCCGGACACCAGTAATTTCATTCCGGCAATAATGTCCCCATGCCGGACACCAGTAATTTCATTCCGGCAATAACTTCCCCATGCCGGACACCAGTAATTTCATTCCGGCAATATTCCCATGCCGGACACCAATAATTTCATTCCGGCAGTAATGTCCCCATGCCGGACACCAATAATTTCATTCCGGCAGTAATGTCCCCATGCCGGACACCAATAATTTCATTCCGGCAGTAATGTCCCCATGCCGGACACCAACAATTTCATTCCGGCAATAATGTTCCATGCCGGACACCAACAATTTCATTCCGGCAATAATGTCCCATGCCGGACACCAGTAATTTCATTCCGGCAATAATTTCCCCATGCCGGACACCAGTAATTTCATTCGGCAATAATGTCCCCATGCCGGACACCAATAATTTCATTCCGGCAATAATGTCCCCATGCCGGACACCAAATTTCATTCCGGCAATAATGTCCCCATGCCGGACACCAACAATTTCATTCCGCAATAATGTCCCCATGCCGGACACCAGTAATTTCATTCCGGCAATAATTTCCCCATGCCGGACACCAGTAATTCCGGCAATAATGTCCCCATGCCGGACACCAGTAATTTCATTCCGGCAATAATGTCCCCATGCCGGACACAATAATTTCATTCCGGCAAAATGTCCCCATGCCGGACACCAACAATTTCATTCCGGCAATAATGTCCCCATGCCGGACACCAACAATTTCATTCCGGCAATAATGTCCCCATGCCGGACACCAGCAATTTCATTCCGACAATAATGTCCCCATGCCGGACACCAGTAATTTGATTCCGGCAATAATGTCCCCATGGCGGACACAATAATTTCTTTCCGGCAATAATGTCTCCCATGCCGGACACCAGTAATTTCATTCCGGCAATATTTCCCATGCCGGACACCAGTAATTTCATTCGGCAGTCCCCATGCCGGACACCAATAATTTTGTTCGGGCAATGATGTCCCCCATGCCGGAGATCTGGAAGTTTGTTATGGCAGTAATATCCCTACGGTAACCAGTGTCCCTCAGTTGTTTTAGACAGGTAACGCTGTGGTAACGCTGGTGGCAGCTTTTCAAAGGTCACCGATTGACCTGAAAATCAGCTTTCCGTTGTAGGTCCCCATGTACATTCTGTGCCAAGGGTTACGGTTTTGGAGATGGTGGCAGGGGGGACACGGCAAAAATGTCCGGGGGGACAGGGGGGACATTTTTGCCGGTCACAGTTGTGATCGCTGTTAGCGGATGCCACCCAGATCATCTACCAGGACACCGTCGTCGTCTGCATCGCTGACGGCACGTGGTGGCTGGGATACATTCAGGATATGGACGGCGACAACGCTCTCATTCACTTTGACAGTATAAAGGCCACGACGCGGTGGATACACAAGGAAAACATCTGGCCACTGCCGTCCTTCTGGGATGATCGGACACACAACTACCCAGGCTGCCGCAATGTTCTAGTGTACGCTGCAATGCGGGATGAAGACCACGGGCCGTGGCGCTTCCGACCCGCCGTCCTGTGGGGCGGCCTTTTCGGTTGCCAAACTTGTGAGATGTTTTACATCAAACCTTTTTTTCCCCTCCAATCCAGTGCGTCCAGCACGAACGCCCCGCCTGAACTGGTGGAGGGTGGCCAAATTGCCGGTCGGTTGCCGCCCAGTGGCCCGCCGTTGCTGAAGCGCCGCAGAGGCTTGCTCTACACTAAACACTTCGTTCCCTTCGCCAGGGCGCAGAATCTTCTAACCGATGCCTCTGACAAGTTCCGCATTATCAGGCACCTTCGCGAGGCTTTTCAGCGCTGACCGGATTTGTTCGATCTGCACGACTGCCATCGCTTTCATCTGCGCATCGAACGGGATGGCTGCATGTTCATTACCACCAATGTTAACACCATCGCGGAGACGGTGCAGGAGACGGCGACACTGTTATCGCAAGTGCTGGACACACATCTGGCCAGCCGGATGAATCTCCCGGCCATCGGGGTTGGACGATTTCGTGCCAGCGAAAACATACCCTGGGACGCCGGTTAGTTAATAATCCCACGTTTCCGTGTTTTTTTATAAAAGTACAGTAATATGTGAGTTTGCCCTTGGCACTTGAAGGTATGTACGCAACTCGTAAGTATAAAGGTCTAAATTAATAGCGTGGCAAATATACTCGTACTGTATCCCCGAAAATCATCTGTGCCTGCACAGCTACGGACTTCGCATAGTGGTATAGTCGGTATTTGCTCGTGACAGAACATGAATTATTAATCTCGCGCAGATGGACTCTGCATTTTCCCTGCTTCAGGCCGCTTGAAAACACATGCACCGGCAACATTTTCAGGACAAAGAAAAGTTAGAAAACTACTGGAGTTCGGTACCGTTCAATCACTTCGATGTACCGTTGTGCAACACACCGTTGTGCATACACCAAAATTACCTTGTGGGTATGAACTCGCAGTTGTCGTTTTTACTTTTCAAGACACTTTCTTAACATCTATTAATTTACCTTTGCCCTACTGAAGCACTTGGTACGATGCCGCTCGTGTCCTCGTTAATTGACCACTTGTATTGTGGATCAGCAACCGCCCTGTTCAGGCTGCAGCTAACCAAACACCAGACACCTCCTCTCATCGGAAGTGTTACAAGACTGCTAGTCTGATATCGTGTGCTGTATCGAATTATCGTACCGGAGTAAACAAAAAGGTGGTTTGGCATCGTAAATTATTAATAGCTACTGTACGGGTATGCATTCCTTACGGGTTTTATGTTATACAGCTGCAGAGGCAAGAGAAGATGGTCGATACATGTATTATAGTATAAGTAAAATCTTATTAACAGTGAATGTATGTACATACGGCTGACAGACTGTTTCATTACAAAATCGCTAGAAAGTCAACAAAATTTAATATCTAAGTTGAGTTGCGCGTATTGAGCTCCCGTAGCGGTAAAAACGCATTTTGTTAGCGGTCCTTACTCCTTATTATCAAACTCATGACAGTTTAGACTTTGGAGTCACCACTGAGCTGCCTCATTATACAGTTTATACTGTACTCTTTACGTACAGAGATACCGGTTTATTTCTATAACTAGCTAAGTTAGGAATGCTACGTTAGCTACATTCTACGAGTGATAATCACTTTAACCGGCTTATTATGATATCACGTGCTATTTTGATAACGCATCATTCTGTATTTAATACGCTGGTTTCTGCAGTTCCAAGCAACTGTAGCCCACACCGTGTGGGCCACACAGTATGGATTCCTTACAGTCACCGTAAAAAGAGCCTGTGCATTTCAGCATTTTCAATATCTGGCAAAAACAGCTCACCGACTAATGCAAATTATTTCAAACGGATTGATGAATCAATTGTTTTATGAAGTTTTACAATATGGGGAATAAAGCTTCCAGCCATGTCGTCGGAGTCGAAGAATTCGGCCATCCTATACAATACCACTATTCACATGAAGATTTTATTGGACGCGAAACTATTGGCGTTGTTTACAGAGCCGAAGTTACAAAACGTAGTGGTTACAGCTTAGGACAAAATGGTCGCATACCCAACATCTCCACATTCAGCACGCATGCAGCGCAGTACACTGTACGAGTGAGTTCAAAATATCCGTTTCGTACAAGTGCACTGCACCGCTTGCGTACAGAATGCTGGGTATGGGGCTATGCGACCATTTAGTCCTACATTGTACATTGGATCAGATGTGATAGCTGTCAAAGTGATACGTTTATCCGACGATTCAGACCACGAAAAGTGGACTGAAGCTGTAGCAGGACTGCGGATGCTCACAAGACTGGTGCACAAGCATATTGTGCTTCACCACAAGATTTCCGTCATTAAAGCGCCCCACGGAATAACAGTGGAGCTGGCAATGGATTACCACAAAGGTTAAAGAAGAGCAACAAGGCTGTCGTGCAATTAATAAATGCAAGCTTGTTGTGTACCGTATGATCCGTATCTGTATGTTGTAGGCGATCTTGCATCATTTTTACGAGAAGCCTGGACAAACAACTCCTTAATCAGTTATGAAAAAGTCATCCGATTCGCAGAGCACATAACCCGAGGACTAGAATACTTACATCGGGAAAACATTATACATGGCGACTTAAAACCGGCAACCATTCTTGTAAACAGCTTGCAAAACTGCCAGGAAGAGCTTGTGATCGGTAAGCTGGACGACGTCGTCCGTACGAAAGGGAGCGAGACTTGTTCTGCAGACATTTCTCATTTGTGCGGTACCCTACGTTACATGGCGCCCGAAATGTTAAGAAAATTTACACAGTTGAAAACAAATATTCCAGGACGAAAAATTGACATTTGGAGTTTGGGCTGCATTATACTAGAAATGGCTGAATGTTGGCAGCGCGTTACCACGAAGCGATTGATATACAAAGGAGAAATCAAACACGCTGGAAGTTATATCTCTAATGGCACGTAGGCAGAGTTAATCATTGATGGCTATGTTCCATTCATCAGCAGCGACATACCAAAGGATTTGGCGGCATGCATTCGGCGTTGCTTGCAGTGGGACGCCAGCAAGCGGTTATCTGCCTCTTCTCTCTTAAACGAAATCGCTGACCTTTCTGTTAAAAGACTGCAGACGCATTGTTACGACGAACAGCTTGAAAATAGTCCAACTGCCACGGACAGTAAAACGCCAAATAGCAGCTCACAAACGCCTGCTAGCGACGCCCCAGAAAGAACCGAAATTATTCGCTTTGGCCGCACTGTGCTAGAGTATGATAAAAAAGCCGACTGGATTGGGCACGGCGGGTGTGCCACAGTTTTCAAAGCAGTTGTTAAGGTTTCTGGTGACTATCGAGGACCCGATGTCGTCGCGATCAAGCAGATTTACGATGTAACCAGTTTATCACCACGTGACTCTCACGCATTAGCAACAGGAGATTCCAAGTGGGGACGTGTGTTGAAACTGCGACACGAAAATGTTGTTCGCTATCCAGTGTTGCTTTACTGTCAGTTTTGGAACTTTACTTACTGTTTACTGTCGCAAACTTTTGTTTTACTTTACTGTTACTGTTTTTCTGCCCAAACCTTTACTGTTTATTTACTGTTTACTGTTCGCCTCAAAATTTACTTTACTAAGTAAACCAGTATTACTCAGTAATACTTTTTGCCAGCCAAAAATTTCAATCAAGAAAATTGTTATACCACGGAAAGTTACACGGTGTACGGCATGAGTTCACACTGCGCAGTGCAACAACTGCAGGTCGGCCTTGCTCATTTGGATTTTGGCGATAAATTTCGCCACAAGCAGACAAATTTCGCGCGAAGCGCGAAGGTAACAAGCAGTTTTCGGTTGAAATCTCTGAAAATTCCAGTAAAAATCGTAGTAACAAAACTAAAAATTTTCCTTTACTGTTTACTTACTGTTTACTGTCAGCCCAAAATCTTTACTTACTTTTACTGTTACTATTCTCAAAAAACGTTACTGTTTATTTACTGTTTAATATTAGGCTACGGTTTACTGTTTACTGCCAGTTTACTTACTGTTTACTAAGTAAAGCAACATTGTCGCTATCACGATGTCGTCAGCGAGCCGATGCCATATGGAAGTTTCGTTCAAATCATGATGGATTACGCTCCAGGTTCGGAATGGTGTCGTGCATTTACTTGATAAAAGCAATTTTTTCGAAGAGAAGGCCAGCCGGCCAGATGATCCGATAGCGGACCCAAATGGTAACACAAAGTGATATCCGTGCATGTCCGCTCTGTTATCACTGGTTGTAGCCCGCTCTGCAGCCTTCTATTACATCTGTGGCACGATAGTACACGTTAACTTTTTCCGGGCATGTGTTTTGCTTGTATCCACAGTATCCCACCATATCCGACAGCATCCGCTACGTATCTTTCATGTATGTATCCTCCAAATTTTCTACTTTTGTTTGACCACTAACGTAACGTATCTCATCGTATCTCTACACTTACCTAATTCTTTATGTATCCCGAAGATTATGTTTTAATAACCTAAAAGAACTACCTAGATACTAGAAAGATACTTAACGGATACAAGTACAGTAAGGATACGTAAAGATACGTTGGGATGCTGCAGTAGTGCAGGCAGGTACAGTCTGTATGTACTAACACCCCCAAAGTTGTATTCAGCAGGATACATATCGAATACGGTAGAGATACTGTGTCTTTCGAAGGTGATACGCATCCGAACATCACTTACTATTCTGCAAGTCTGGCGAATATTGTTAATGAGGTCATTCTTTTTAACCAGCGCGTCCCACGATATTCTCGCAGTATCCTTCGTGAATCCTCCATATCCCGTCATTTACTTTGGTTTTCTTAAGTTTTTTTTGGGATACGTAAATGATACGGTTGGGATACGGCAATGAACATAATATAACAACAAGTAAAATAGATACGTTGGGATGCTGTGAGGATTCATGCGAGGGAAAAAAACTGTAAAAAAGTACGCCCAGAGAAGTTTTCGTGTACAAAGTTGTCTATACCTGTACTTCGGTTTTTCGGTCACCCTAAGTTAAGACGGCGGAATTTTGAGAAAACCGAATTTCATTTTGGTTCTGCGAATTAATAGATCGCGACTCGCGATCGCTGCTGAAAGATTTAAAGGGAAAAGGCGAGAAGCTCCAACTCAGCAGTGGGGCCGACTTCGGGAAGCAAATCACGAGGGGTCTGGTATTTCTCCATGCAAATGATATCACACACACCGATATGAAACCGGCTAACGTGCTCCTGCGAAAGACTAGCACAGAGGAGTACCATCTGTTCATTGGAGATCTGGACACCAGCGTCTTCATGGAGCACAGTTACACCACTAGCAAAGACCCCAACCGCTTATTATATACTGCACCGTACATGTCACCCGAAATGGCCGGGTATGTTCTCCAGACAGAAGCGACAGCCCGACCTGGTAGAAAAACGGATGTATGGAGCATGGGTTGTATCCTTATTGCCCTGGTCAACAGCCATTTGGGCACTACAGATCAATGGCTGGAAAAGGGCGATACGAAGGAAAGCTTTCAAATTACTGAGAAGGTATCCTCTATGACGGTTGTTTTCAAGGTGAAGGGCGGATTTAGACCGGTGATCGATCGGAGTACGCATCAAGGTATTCGGGAATTAATCGAGAACTGTTTGCGGGATGATGCTGAGCAAAGATTTTCCGCTGCATCCGTACTCGACACTCTGGAATATTTGGATTTGTAGCAGCCGGATCTGCCGACATGTGGCAATATTCTTTTAAAATTTTGCATGGTTAACGAAAGCGCTGGTGGGTGTACTTCCACCGTAAACATGTCTTCTGTGGTGGACAAACGATATAAGTTCCATACGCGGACATTTGGGTGCTGTGAACATACCCTTCACGATTAGGGTGCGATGAACACCCGACTGCTCTGCAGCTCGCAACGCTACTAACATCACGGTCGGAATTTTAAAAATAAATCCAAGTTTAAAACGCACAGCATCCAGTACGAGTACGACTGTACAAGTACTCCCACATATTTGTTTATTTCCACTATCTTGTTGTTCTAGATTTGTTGTAATGATGTTTGTTTTTCTTTTTTTACTAATTATTCTGATTTGCTACGTGTACTAAATCTACCTGTCCACAAATATCAGCTATCAGCTATGAATGTAGTCGCCAGAGCTTGTCATAATGATGCTATGGACGCAGCAGTCAAGCCATGTCAGGAAGGAATTTCTGTTCTGTGACTCAAAATTGGGAAGCACTATGATCTTATAAAATGTGGTTTGAAGATACGATAATTTTTTGTGGAATGTAATTTGTCGAAACCGAGAAAAATAAATACTTGGATATAACATTTTTGTCAAAATAAAATTTTGTGTAAAGTTAGTTCCCGGGTGTTCATCGCACCCTAATCGTGAAGGGTATGTTCACAGCACCCAAATGTCCTCGTATATATAGTTGATAGTTCTTCCTTTTACAGGGTACTGGACAATACAGGTCATAGTCAGAATACAGTACCAAGTACCAACTCATTAGCGTACGAAACTAAACGTCAATAAAATTCAGACTAATACGGCATGAATGCCACTTTTGACTTTAACGTGCCGCTGGAGCGGTAAATGTAACAACATTCGAAAATATACGTACAGGTTAAATAGTATTCTATAATTATGAATTTTTGATTTTTTCAGTAGTGGGAAGCACAGATACACTATTAATATTTTTACAGTTTAAAATTCAAGCATTAAAAATACAACCACAGTCTGTGTCTTCTGCTGGCAAAGTACACGTATTCAAAAGGCGAAGTACTTACACGTATTTGAAACAGTCGTTTAAAGGGCGTAGCTTCATTTGTACGTAATAACACTGGCCACTTTAAAACACGTCTTAAAACCAAACGACAATAGAGGTATTCACTTCCCAAAAACGAATACAGCCAGAACAGAAGTCTGGATGACATAAAAAAAGCAAAAAATCTGACGACGGTGGGATTTGAACCCACGCCTACCGAAGTAGATTGGTACCTGAAACCAACGCCTTAGACCGCTCGGCCACATCGCCTCTGATACTTTACCATGCTTTTCCTATCGCAGCAACTGATAAAATGGCACTGTTTTACCGCAACGCTGTGCGGCTGTTCAGTGCAGCTTGCCGCTTCTAAAGTACAACGAAGAATTTCGCTGCTAAATCTTTCGAAAATGTCCCGCGTATAAATGCCATGATAAATATACGAGACACGCATTTTCGATATTTCTTCAAGTTTTAAGACATCGAATGGGACCTTGCATTCAGTCGGCGTTCAGCATAACAAAATGAAGTAAAATAAATTACTTAAAAACAAAATGTGAAAAGCTCAAATTTACTCAATCCATTAATAATAAAATTAAAAAATATCTAAGAGTAATAATACTAGTATACGTATATGCATGAAAATAAATTAATAAAATCGTTAATATACATAAAATTAATAACAAAAATCGCATAAATTTTCTCTTTAATGTTTGCAAAATATTTTCCACAAATTCTGCGTTTTATTTTATTTTTGTTGCCATTCACGTAACTGACGATGCCAACAGGCGTCAAACCGCTGCGAATATCCCACAGTAAATTGACAAAATTAAACGCTACAAAATACATAGCCCCATCAACAAATCAACATGAATCCAGCGAAATTCCCATCGAAATCACCATAATTTGCGTTTCCGCCAGTCGAACGTATCCACATCGTCGCTGTCCTCCTCCCCACTGTCCTCCCGGACACTCTCCCCCTTTTTCTCCGGGACCGGCGCCGCGCCCTTGCCCTGTTCCCGTCTGATCTCCAGATCGTGGATCTTCTGCCAGCGCGTCATCTGCTCCTCGATCTCCTCCAGCTCGCGCTGCTTCCGCGCCGCTTCGTCCTCCTGCTCGACGGCCATGGCGGATTTGTGGCTCTCCTCGTGGATGGCCTTCTGGAATTTGGACCACTCCTCCTCCTCCTGCTTCTGCTTCTCGCGCTCTAATTTCTGCCGGATGTTCTTGGTGGGTTTGTCGAAGAAATCGTCGGGGACGGCGCTGGAGGTGTCCTCGACGACGGGGTCCGAGGGGGTCGGCGCCTCCGAGGGGGTGGGAATGGAAGGGGCGTCGAAAAAATCTACAAAATTGCCATTAATAATTTATTTAATTCTTTTTTTGAAAATACAGACGGATTTTTATGTACCAATGTTTTATAAAGGAACGAAAATGTTTTTTGTAATTTTCAAAAATACAAAATCATGTGGACCATAAAAGGGGTTAAAATAGAAAGAAAAATTGACAGGCAAATGATTAATAAATTATCAAGAGGAAAAACGCGTACAAGAATTCATCATAAATTCAACTCAAGGGAGAAAATTAATAATAATCAACTGGAAAACTTCATAAAAAATACTTCTATTTTTCGTAAATTTTCCGTCACACACCTGAAGGTAAACCGGCAGACTGGGCTTCATCCACCTCCATGGAATCCACCATTTCTCTGCAACATCATGAAAACAGTTGCTGCACAATAAATCCAATAAAACCATAAATCCAATCAAAAAATAAATCTATGATTTAAATAACAAATGCAATAAATCAAATATAAAAAAAATAATAACTTGCAATACAATAAATCAAAATAAACAAGAAAAAAATCCAAAAACTCCAAATATTTGTTCAATTTTACATTACTCTTACAACTTCTAAAGCCAGCAAAGCAGCAAACCGAACCTCGTCAATGTGGTGATTTTCGGTTTCTTGGGAGGCGGCTCGTCGCGCTGCTTCCGTTCCGACAGCGAAGAATCCGCACTGGCAGCCGGCGACGCTGATGACACAGGATCAGCGGGCTTGGCGCGGATTTTGGCTGCGTCTGGGTTTTTCGTGGCAGCAAAGGCCTAAGAAAATCAGCACACTGTAACGAAGCGTTATTTGTAAAGTTGTTGGTCATGGCACCTACCAGCTGATGCTGACGACCATTTTCATGAGCTTTCCACGAAGCTTCACTCTTCACGCTGGCTTTACACAGGATACAGTACAGCTGGCCGGAATTGTCGTATCTGCGTTAGAAAATCACATTGTATTCTCAACCTGAAGTTGCCAGTGTTGTTACGTTGTAGAATGACAAACTGGGACGTACTTGGCAAAGGGTGAATCGAGTTTCTTGGCGGACTTCTCCTTCATCAAACGGCGCAGGTCTTCTTTGGATAATCCCGATTTCTGCGCCATGAATGATAGCACAGACAAATCAGGATCGATCAGTATGAGTACGGGAAATTATTCACTAAAGTGACAAAGTCAAGAGTGAACTGTGAAATAATGAAGTTCAGAACATCTTCTAGTCAAATGACTCTATCCCGTCCCTTCTCAGCACAATCGAGGTGTCGCTTAAATATCACAGTTCCGTCGTCCCCAATAATTATAACCACGAAGCAGAAGAGTAAGGCATCCCAAAAGCCAATCCAGACAACCAAACATAAGGTTTCCGAAACGAAATTTACTTCTTTTTGACGGTTCAGAACTTCAGGTGGGCTCATTATTTTTTGTGGTGTGTATGCGGCAGCCGCCCATATCGAAGGTTACCTCTAGAAGACTGTAATATTAAAGTGATTTTTCATTTTTGTCGCAGATTGTACATTTTTACTGTTCGTATTTCCTACTCAATCACATCAGTCAATCTGCTAAATTTTTAAATCATAAATTTAGCATCGTGCCAAATAAAACTGCAACCTTTACAGGAAGGAAAATGTACCAAAATATTGTGAAAATAGCAACCGTGCCACCATTTTTTTCCATTAATTTAATAAAATAATAAAATTACAACTACAGATACATACGTCAGCGAGAATTCCAGTTGTGTTTTCGTCATTCTCCCTACCAATTTTCTCATAATTATAGTAATAGTACACATCCGTAATTCATATTTTAATGACCCAAATGTACAGCTGACAAACTGCGGAATAATATAACGAATAAAATGCATTCAATGCGCCGCTCCCTTCTTCCCGGATTTCTCCCAGGGATCCTCCGGAGCACACTCCTCCACCTTCGGCTTCGTCGGCCCGTCCTTATCCCAATTATGGATGTTCTCATAAATCTCGTACTTATCACACAGATAATTGACAATGGCCCGCGGAGTCAGGAGTTTCTGCGCATCGGAATCCGGGATCTCGAAGCTGTACTCATCCTCCACGGCCATGATGATCTCCACATGGTCCAGACTATCCAGTCCCAGATCCTTGTGGAAGTGCGAATCCAGTGTCAACTTGTTGGGGTCGATCTTGTCGAAGAGCCGCAGATTGAGCATAATGACGTCCATGAAGAAGGCGCGCGTGTATGTCGGGCGGGCCATGTGTCGCCGCGGCTGCCGCTGCAGGGCGGCGGCGGGCATAAGGAGGGGGGGGTGGGATGCGTGGGGGCCTGGTGCAGGGCGGGGAAACGGCGGGTGGAGTAGTTGCTGATGGGGAGGATAGAAGGGGGAACCGTGCGAGTGGCCGTGAGGAGTGGGAGACGGGAGAGGGCGCGCAGGACGCTGGAGGCCATCTGCAAAATCCATCATCCAGATGATCAGGGGTTTTTCGCAGTACCTGAGTACTGTGCAGACTGCAACGCTACTTACGGTGTTGAATATGTTGCAGGCAGAGTCTCAACCCAGGAATGCCTTATGTGATAATCCGTCAAAATAAATTTAGTCCAGAGTGTTTACGTCCAGAATAATCAGACTACTAAAGTTGCAAAACGAGGGAACGAAAATCAGAGACCAGATCCAGGTGAAAAAAATATTTTTTGAACCCGAGTCGACATGCAGCGGAAGACAGTCAGGACCGTGCCGTTCCAATTCCAGTTCCGTCTCGGTTCTGGAAATCACAACGTTGAAATGGAAACGGGGCTGTTATTGCCGCTGATATTCGTTTCTCCTTTTATCTTAATGAAAGCGAAATAGCTTACATGCAGTATTTTCGATGCTATATTTCACTGCTTTTTAGAAGCTATTTTTTTACTCAAACAAAATTACCCCGTGAATTTACCAGCGCGAAGGATGGACGAAACATGCTGACTTCCGGTGGAAATGCTCGTATTGCCATTTCCTGTGTTGTGAGGATGAGTCCATTTCAATAAATGGAATTCGTACAGCTGGCATTCCGTGTAGGCGTGTACGTACCTGTCAGACGGAGTTTTCATGTTTCGCATTTCTTGTTTTTTTTCTGTTATAGAAAAAGTCCAAAAATGAATAAAATTATAAAATTTTTAATAACGTCAGCAAGTTATTTATTTTTTCGAGTGAAGAAGCTCTTTATCCCTTCGGCTGCGAGTCTTAGTCATAACACCGTTGAACAAAAATGACGATCGTGGACAGCATACACGGGACGGTGACGTACTACTGCTGGTGGTCCTTGTTCTACGCACTGGGCCCGATGATCTGGTTCTATCCGCTGAACGAATTAGATATCACGGGCTACGAGGCATTCGCTGCAATATGGCTGATCCCGATTATCACGGCGGGCGCTTTCGTGCGCAGAGTGTTGTTCTCCGAACGCGGCAGTGTGGCTCTGGAGTTGGGCATGATGGCGGGGATTTATTCCTTTCAAATGGTACGTACCGAGTATTTCGCCAGCCTGTCGAATGTTTTCGGCATTGAAAATTCCAGAAAATTTTATTGTGATTATTTTATGTGCATAAGTAAATTTCGGCCGGATGGAAAGCTCGAAAGCAGTCGAAACAACTCTTCGTTCGATTTTTTTTTGAAATATTTTTTATTTTTTTTAATATTTTTAAAAGTATTTTTTTAAGTAGTTATCATTTATCAGTTGGTTTTTAATTTTTGACGTTTTTTGAACTACGTGTCATGAATTTTGAAAAAAAAAACATTTCTGTCCCTTTTCCAGAAGTTGCAGCTTTTCGTACAGTTATATTTATTTCTTTTTGGACTTTTATGAAATTCGCTGCTAAATTAGTGTTGGAGGCTTTTTACGTATTATTATACTTAAGAAAAATATTATTGTGAAAGAACACCATGTAATAAATTTAATTTAACGTAGAAAACTGATTATAAACGAATGCACTCGCACTAATAAATAAAGGAATTTTATGTATAGAATTTATCCAGTTTTTTTAGTAATTAATTGGTTGTGCATTTTGACCATCTTCCAGCCGTCGACATTATCGCGACTGCAAGTGTTGAGCGCGGGCAACGGCGCGGCGATGCTGTACTTTTGCGGGAAACTATTCGCCGGCAGCCGGGAGACGCGCATCCGGCAGTTCTGGCTGCTGATGGGTGGCCACTTTATTTTTCTGGCGTCGCGCCTAATTATGACCAGCATCGCGCCGGCCTGGGCCGATCACCGGACCAACTGGATGATTTTCAGCATTTTTGCCGTCAGTATTATCACCCGCGTTCTCCTGAAATTGGCCGGATTTGCACCGTCTGAAAATAAAGAAAATACCGCTTCCGGTGGCGCGGCTGGCCAGCGTTCCAAAATCTCCAGCCATGCAGGTGAGAATTTATTAATCAATTTATCGATATTTTCTTCTCCACAGTAATCAATAAATTTGTAAAAAAAATTGAATTGGTATTAAGTGCGTTATAAATTTAAAAAAAAAATTGTATTTGTACTGTATTTATGTGCGTTATAACTGTCTGTACGTCGACTCCTAAGTGCACTGCAGCGCAATAAAAAATTTGTGGAGTGATCGTAGAGTTGTGGCGTTAGATTGGAACCACTGGTATATGCGGATGTGAAACAACAAAGTTTAGGATAAAACGAATTGCAGATCATTCAGTTTTCAATCGTTATGAAAAGTTTTTATTGAAAACCACGGTTATGTGTGGCTCTTTTTTCCTGATAAGAGAAAGCCAAAGAAACAAGATTTAACAGAACTCACGAACGGCAGTCACCTTTTTTAAAGAGCACTTCGGTTTTTGACAATATTTGGTTTTTTTTGGGGCATCCTCTCACTGAAAACAACAGTTTGTTTTTTAAGCTTTCAAGGAATTTTTATAAAATTGTTATCAAATCTTTTTTAGACTCTTCGGGAAAATTTCTCTAGTTATTTCGAATTTTTCTGTTTTTGGTAGAAGAAAAATAACACGCGTTCAAACGTTTATGTAAAAAAATTTGAAAGACTTTGTAAAATTAAATGATAAAATCTAGTGTTGTGCTACTAAATAAAATTAAATAACGGCCATTTACTTAGTAAAAGCCCGCCTAATATTAAAAGTCTAGTAAATAGTAAGGGTTTGGAAACAAAATAAGTAAAAGTAAGTAAATGTGCTGCCGGAATAGTAAAAAGTAAGTAAATATTAAGGTTCAGAGTTGAATAAATAAAAATCATTTACTAGGTTTTCTACTAATTCGTTTTATCAGCATTACGTACAAAAAATGGCGTGTCAACCACCGCCGCTCGCAGGTAAAGTGAGTGTGCGCAGTAGTCGGCTGCCAGCCTGCCGCCCTCAAAATCGGCAGTATTTACTTCTCGGTATGCACCTGTATAGCTCGATTAATGCATAAGAAATTTATTTGCACTATTTTCAGTAGTCTATTGCGCTTTGAAACTGACGCAGTTCGAAACTTTCGATGCTAAATTACATTTATTTAGTAAATTTGCTTTAATTTGGTAAGTAAATGTCCTTGGAAAAATTGACATAGTAAGTAAAAGTGAGTAAAAGTCCCGAAAAATTTTGAATTGTAAGTAAAAATAAGTAAACTTCCAAAAGCAGATAGTAAAAATAAGTATATTGGCAAGGACTTTTACTACCCAACACTAATAAAATCCTCTTGCATTTTCTGTTTTTTTACGCAGCGGCGGCCCCGCCCGCACCGCTTGCCTCGACCTTCCGGCAGATAACCTGCGGCCTGCTCACCGGCAGTCTTTTTTACTTAACCCACTGGATTTTCGGGGAGCTGGGCGTCCTCTCCCGGTGGGCGGTGCGCGGCGTCACCGCCCCGCCCTCCCCCCTCTCCCCCTTCCACACCGCGCCCCTCGTCCTCCTGGCCTTATCCACCGGGATGTTCCTGCCCTACTTCCACACCAAAACCACTTCCTCCTTTAATTTTTGGCTGGCCGGGACGGTGACGTTTTTCGGGACGTACTTCCTGCACGAATATGCGGGATTCTTCTGCGGATTATTCCTGGCGGTGTGGTGCTCGGTGGTGTGGGTGTGGAGTGTGCGGCGGTGGTGGGCGGTGGGGGACAACCCGGCGCTGGTGATGACGGTGGCCATGGTGACGTATCTGGCGCAGATCTTCTTCCATGTGTGGACCGTGGCGTATAATTTCGTCCCGGGGGGCGTGTACACGCGGGAACGCTCGGATGCGCTCATTGGCGTGATGTGCCTGGCGATGCTGACGGCTTTCGGGAAATTCGGTAGGTTTTTTTCTGTTTTTTTTTGTTTCAATGATTATTGTAGTAATTTTCTTTTTCTTGCTGTTTCTGCGATGATTTTTGTGGAATTTTTTACCAGAAAATTTAAATTTAATTCTGGGGAAGTTGGGTAGGTTTTCTTTGGAATTTTTTCCTGTATTTCGCTGCTTTTTTATTCTTAATGCTTCTTGCAGTAATAATCTTTCTATTGCTTATTTTGTGATAATTTTGGAAGATTTCCTTGCAAAACGTTTTCGTTGATTTCCCGGAAAGCTTGGTAGGTTTTACTGGGGAAATTTCTTCTGTATTTTTTTATTGCTTTTACGTTGAATGCTTATTCTAGTAATGTTATCTGTATGTACGCCAGTAAATTGAATTGTTAATTTTTCTAGTGAAACTTTGATCTTTCGCGTTGTTTCTGCTATGCTTACTTGAAAGAACATGTGGATCAACGTAGAAGAATGGCAATGATATTGATTGGCTTCTATGGTCAACGTTGCTTTAGTGTCGGAAATGTGTGTCTGCCGTCATTATTATTTTAATATTCATTATCATCATTATTATTTTAAATTTTTTTATTTTTTTATCATCCTTTTTTTTAATTGTGTTTGTCATCATTATTATTTTAATATTAACTTTTTATTTTACATAAGGACATAATTAACCGTGTTGCTATTTTTTTGCAGAACTTTTGCCGTTTAATAGCCCGGCTTTCCATTAATCAAAATGAATACTCGTACTAAAACGCCAAGCAAGGCGTGCTTTCCAGACGGTTGTATAAGAGTAATAAAAAAAATACAAAATAAAATAAACAAAAATGAACAGTGCAGAAAAATATAGAAGAAATCAAACATGTGGAATAGAATAAAAAAAATATTAAAATAAAGAACATGAGAAAAATAAAAATCAAAATGAAATATCACGAAAATGTCGACTAAAAAAGAAATAAAAATAGAATACTTAACATAAAATTAAAATAAAATCAACAGAGTAAAAATTATAGAAGAATAACATGGAAATAATGCGCATCCCGGTGGTGTCCAGAGGGATCCATCCGGGATCTCCGGCCGCCGAATTTCTTCCGCTTAACCGTGTTCATCGCGCTGATCGTGGCCGGCGCGGCGACGGTGTACCGGCTCCCGCGGCAACCGCAGCCGAAGAATTTAAATCCCGACACCCGCGATCTGTCCGCCGTGATCTGGACGTTCCACTTCGGGTACGACAACCAGGGCTGGCCCAGTCTGCACCGTGCCGCGGATGTTCTGCAGGCGACCAACGCCGACGTGATCGCCTTGCTGGAGAGCGACGCCAGTAAACCCTACCTCGGACACAACGATCTGGCCCTGTGGCTCAGCGAGACACTGGGCATGTACGTCGATTTCGGCCCGGCTACCAAGGTACGACCGGACGGTACCCGGAGAAATAACATTTAGTTGGTTTTCTTAATTTACTCGTTTCTTTTTTTAAAATTTTCTTCTAAAGGAATAGCAGATTTATTTTAATGTGATGGTTAGACACACGTACAAGTAAATTACGAAGTGATTATTTATACCAGATACAAGCATTACTGGCTATTGTTAGTTAGGAACGATCATTTATTTACTTATTTTTATGATTTTCCTGCGAAGTACAAGAACCGAATTAAGTATTGGCATAGAAATATAATTGATCGATAATTATTTATTACCACGTAAATTAACAGTAGAGTTTATTTTTAATTTCTGTACACTGCCAAAGGATAAATGAAGTAAAAATTATTAATTAGAAAATGCCTATTTGTTAAGGATTTGGAAAATGCGGGTACAGTATCTTGATTGTGAGGTCACGTTTATGCTCGCTTTCTTGCCCATGTTCTACGCTTTTTCTCTCCGTTATAGCTTATCTGTTATCACATAGCGAATGCGAAGAGTTTTCTGTTCACCTTTTTTCGTAAGGAATCGAGCAAAATATTAAACTGAATTACTGATAATGTGAGTAATAAATAAGATTAATCTGCCTTATTGAGTGAACCTAATTCCAATTAATCCGAGACTGTAACTGAATAAATTTTAAAACAAATATTGGAAAAATAAAAAAACTACTGGAATAATACGAAAATATTGGAATAATAAAAAATACATCCGATAGAATCACCCGAAGAAGACTGATTTCCATTGGATAAATCGGTGTTTTTCTAGGACCATACATGGGGCAATCTATTACTGTCCAAATACCCCATCGTGACCTCCACCCACCACCTGCTCCCCTCGCCGGAAGGCGAACTGGCCCCGGCCATCTCCGCGGTGCTCAACGTCTCCGGCCACTTGGTGACCATCATCTCCACCCACATGGGCAACGACCGCGACCACCTGGACCGGGAGTTACAAACCCACTACCTGGCCAACCTCTCCGCCAGCTCCCCGCATCCGGTCATCTTCCTGGGCTACGTCACGTCCAAACCCTTCAGCCGCGATTATCTCCACTTGACGGAACAGGGAAGACTGAAGGATATTGATCCCACGGATCGGCAGCGCTTCTGCGAGTATATCATGTACCGCGGTCTGGGGCGGGTGGGCTATGCGCGCATCTCCCACGGGGGCCTGTCGGATACGGAGCTGCAGATGGGCCGGTTTGTCGTCGGATCGGAGGTAATATTGCAGTTATTCTGATAATTTTCGTATTATTATTTTGGTTTTTTTTTATTATTATTAATTACTTCACTGGATAGATTCATTAATAAATACATTGATTAATTAAGTTACAACTGGGAAACGGGAAAATAGTCTTTTATTAATAATGAATAAATTATTACTTTTTCTGTTAATTATTCATAACATTTTCACTATAGAATAACAGGGAAAGAAGGTAATACATGTATAGTTAGTTCGTAATTCTGGTGTTAATTAATGGCTAGATTTATCCATAAATCCGTAAAAAAAATACAGAGATTAATTAAGTAGTAAAATCATTAATTCGAAATTAATTTATTTTTTACCAATAAAAGATTGGTTTATTTTTTTACTAATTATTGTGTGATATTTTTGTTTGAAACTGTTCGGATCATGGCAAAGGACCAATTAAAAATGCAAAAGTGCTTTCCCGCTCATTTATATAACTTTGCGAAGCGCTTTAATCGTTTATAAGCATTTATATAACTAATTTGACGTTTAGAAATTGTGAAATCTTGATTACATAAATCTTGCGATTTCTTCACTAGAATTTGGTTAGATTTTTATTACACTTGGAAAATAGAATTTTTCCATTTGAAACACATAGAGATCCGTTGCATTGTGCAGTGAATTCGATATTTCTGATCTTGACATGGCGACTGTACATTTAGGCGGGGGAAGGGGTCGTGGAGACGCGGGAGGATGCGGTGCCGGCGTGGATGCGCTTTTCTCCGCGATTCGGCGGCTTCACGCCGGGACACTACGCGCCGTGGCGGCATCACTACCACATGAGTACGCCCAAGTATTTCCTTGATAAAACCGGCAGCTAAGGAATGCGGTGCCTTTTTTCTTGGTGTACCTTGTATATGGACCATGACAGTGATTTATATTTATTGCCGGTGTCGCCGTGGAGAAATTGTTGGTTTCTATATTTTCTGTTGATTATGTGTTGGCAGCTCGGAGGACTATCGTAACAACAGTGTTATGCGAAAGTTTCTTGTACGCAATTTAGAAAATATGGATAAAATTTATTGAGGGATTCTACGTTATACATAGTACTGTTGCGCGAGTATATAGCGTAAGCGTGTTCTGTGGGTGAGGAGCAGCATGCATCATGAATCACGTGCATATTCATAGCCATAACGGGCGTGCTTACATTGTATACATTTATGGATGCGGTTGGATGCACAATAGCTTGTTGTGGTAAGCAAGCCAGAGGTTGTGGCTTGAGCGATAACGGGCAAATGACTGAGCGTGAAGAAAGGAATGAATCATTGTGTAAACCAATAGTGTGTCTTTGTTGTCTGCAATGTTTTATCTCTCGTAACATGTATTAAGTGCCTGGCTAAAAAAGTAGTGTGCGATGAAGTTGTCAAATGATTTAGTACATCTCCATCCAGCCTCGGAACAACTTCTCTTGGAATATCTGCCTTTATCTTTGCATGCCATTTTGTTAGCATTCGAGTTGTTGTCTGCTAATCTGCATTAAAGGTCATCGGGTCGGATCAGCCGCTGTTGTTTATCGTTGTTGTACTGGTAGTAGAAAGGTTACATCCACCGAGTCTCAGCTAACCTTTAGTTACGCGACATGGAGGGCATGTGTGCGTAGCAAGTAAATGTAGCTGAAGGTGTGGAGCTGCGAGGGAAGGTCAAGTTCAGTAGTGGTGAGGTTATAACCACTGCAAGTGTTTCAGAGTGAGTTGATGTGCTGTTAGCAGCAGTGAGTGCACTGCTGCAAGTGACAATGTATTAGTAGTGGTGAGTGCATTACCACTACGAGTGTTAATCGTGAGACATCAGTGCTAGTGATTTGCTGTTATAATTGCTGATGGATAGTGTGTCATTGTGGACGCTTTGAGACGAGCGACGAGTGTGGATTGTGAAAGGTCACAAGTGTCGCTTGCAGCAAACCACGCGTTGTATGAGCGAGTGTGGGAGCGGTATCTAGTAAGAATACTTTGCACTGCTAACAAACGACGTCGGTGAATGTTTTAAGGCTTGTTAGTGCAGAAGGTGGTGCCGGCGTTCTGCGGTTCTTTTGTCGGAGCGTACAACGATAGGTGTGTTGGAGCGGAAGCGGGTGCAGGTGGTCGACAACTAGCGGAAGCAGCATAACGGCATTCCTCTGTAAGTCGTATGGCAACCTACCATTTTTGCTTTCTCTTCGTGGGTCCTTTTGTTCATGACATAGTTTAAACAGGATAAGTTAATAACGATGTGCAGTTGCTTTCAGTTTGTTTTTTTAAAATAAAGTATGTGTCAAAAATAGTCATTTAGTTGACTTCGGACGAATGTTTGTTATTAACTGGTTAATAATGAAAATTGATCTTATGATTAAGTTGACCTTAGAAGATAGCCTTAATATTACTAGAATCGTAAATCATCAGCTTACTGCAAGGGATTTCGATCATTTTAACAGTGTGTGCTCTAGATTGTTTGCGGATTTTCCCTGTATTCTTTCGATTTCTTTTGCATGTAAAAAATACGGCGTATATGGTGAGACCCGCCTGGAAGGAAATATTTATAAGCAGGACCAGCAGAGTCGAAACAGTAATACTTAAGTACGTATTTAGGTATATTTCGATGCCGTCTTTTCATGCCATTAATTTTCGAAAAAAATTGAATTAACTCTTAAATATATCGATTTGTAGAATAATTAAGTTTTTTATCTGCGCAAGTCAAAAGTCCTGCTGACGTACCAGAAAGAGCGAATCTGTAATTCGTCGTAACCGATCGTTTTAACATGCCCCTTTAAAATGCGATTCTTGAATTTTTTGTTGTTGATGATCAAAAAAGTTTGATTGCATAAATTTAAGTTTAAAAAAAAATGGTTGTACGTAAGATGGCAGGAATTCGCCTTAGAGATTTACCAGTATTTGGTGGACAGTCCACTGAATCTGCAGAAGATTTTATGGACAGGTTTAACAGAATTAAGAACTATTTTTCGTGGAGCGATGAACAGTCTTTGGTGCATTTCGGTTTGTGCTTGACAAATGCTGCCTTAAAATGGTTCAAGAACAGCGAATCCAAACTGAAAAAATTTTGCGACGCAGAGCAGGAATTTTTGAAAATCTTCGGTAGAAATCTGTTAGACTTAGATATCAGTAAATTCATGTCAAAAAATTTCGCTGTTGACGAACCCTTGACGTACGTATACGGTGTGTTGGATTACATTGTTGCAACCCATGTCAGCGCTGGAGAAGAAGAAAAGGTCAGAATTCTTTTCGAAAATTTGCCGATGCAGCTCAAAGCAGATATGTTACAAAATCGTCCCAAAACAGTCGAGTTATTTACTGAAAGGCTGCAAGAAATTCGTAAGAAGTGTCAGTATCTAAAAGCTGATGGGGAAGTGCCCGACGATTGTAAAATTTTCCCGCTTTCTAAGATGTTTTGACGTGCTACTGGAAATTCCAACTAGTTGTTCGCTTAAAAAAAAATAATTCAAAAAAAAACAGCAATAATTCTTAGCTCAGTTAGCTAATAATTCAAAACGCTAGTCTAAGTATGAATCAATTAAATTGTAATTATGCAAGTAATGTTCTTTTGGAGGTGGCGCAATTATCGGTACACCAATAAAGCAAGAGAGTAAACCCTTTATGTACTTTAGCGCTGTGAGTGATTCAGTCGCTTTGCTTAATTCTAACAATTTTGCTGATTTGTGCCAAAGTGTTTTCTTCGTAGACGTTTAAGGGATGCATTTTCATAAATATTTAGTTGTGGTTTATCAACAGCGTTTGTCAAAATTAAATAAAAAAAAACTAAATTTCTTAATAAAAATTTTTAAATTTGCGTCTAATATTTGATTTGCACTGTCCAATCGCCGTAGGTAAAATCTTTGACAGTGTATAAGCCGTTAGTGATGACTTTTTTTTACAATTTTGTTTTTGGAATCGCTGACTTCTGTTTGGAATTTAGTTGAATGTTTTAAAGTTGTGCAGCAAAGCTGAAAAGAGAAATAAATGAGGATGTTGTGAGAAAAAGATGAGTAAATGAAATGAAATGGGTCAATATTTTGAGCACACTTTTATTGTTGTTCCAGCTTGCGCAAGCACTGTCGATTGAATAACAACATATCAGAAAATTCGAGAACATTTTCACATCGTTTTTTAAAGATATCATCATGTTTTGGTACCTTTTGTCTGCTCAGGTAAAATATCCACCATGCGTTATGTTTTACACTAGAACGCTTTAATAACATGAATGGCAATTACTTATGCACTGGGACGCCTCCGCATATGTTCGGGTTATTCATGAAAAAATCGGCAGACAATTTTCCACAACAAATATTCTTGTGTGCAAGCTTGCCGGCAGCCCACTCAAGAAAATTGTTTCATAGCGGCAGTAGAAAAATTTAAAAAAAAAGAAGAGAAGAATTTGGTGCTCAGGGTTCAGATTACAGTACATTAGTATATAAATTCCAAAATATTGTCGCTCATTCGGCTAAAAGATCCTATCTTATTACGCAGTAAAAAAGCGATTCAAATTCAGCGTATGGGTTATTTCTAAATTCTGTATGAAAACACAAGTTCGCAAGTTTGGTGCACTGCAATCAAAAAAAAAGCGCAGGGTAATTAGCGGAAATCGGAAATTGAAAAAATCATGTTCATTAAATTGCACGTAGTCGGGACCACGATTTGGTTTTTTCTGATCGGATAATTATCTGATAAAATGCGGCATTTTTTTGTACGTTTACGTTGGTTGCGTTGTGCTCGTTTATTTAGGCTTTAGCTATTGAAGGTAAAATATTGTTGCATAATTTTCTGACCATCGAAACGTTTAAAACAGAGAAGCTAAAGATATTAATAGCTACCTTTCATCGTTGCCATCACCCATTAAAGCTCAATGCACTAGTTGCATGTGACTCCTCATGTATGCTTGATTTCTATTGTCGCACCCAAACCACACCCCATTGTTAAGTACGCTCTAAATCATATCATAATGCTCTGCGCTTGTTAACGTAAAATATTGGCTTCAATATTCAGTACATCGGCAGCACTTGACTTTCTTTTTTCACTTTCTTCATGTTACTTGCTGGTCAAGATGCAATAAAAATGCAAAATAAGATTTACTTTCCGCCGTAATACTTTTATATGCTTTCATAAGCTTTACACTGCATTAAATATATTATATTTTTATATAATCAGTGTTTGAATAATTGTCTACCTCAGCTGTACAGTTGTTGGTAATGGGCATTATCGGGATCTGTATTATTACTGAATTTTGTAGAGTACAATGTGCCATATTCACTACGTAAACTCGTATCTTTATATTCATACAATCCTACCGTCCAAAACGTAATCAATTTTGTTTTTTTCTGGATTCGTCAAAGTGTGGTTAGTTTAAGTCAAACTTGGTCTTAAAAAAATCAATATTTTCCTGACCAACTTATTCTGAATTTTGATTTTTTTTTAAAAACGTTCTAGTCAGAAAATTGTAGGAGTTGGTTTTAAGTATGGCGAAACGCAAGTGCAGTACCAAGAATACTTACTATTGTGAAGCACAGTACGTAAAAAGTACATACGGTACTGTAACCGTGGATATGGATCTGTAAGTACACTTTTGTCAGTACAGCAGTTAGGGTAATGTGGATTTTTACGTAGTTCAAATTCTAAACAGCCGGCAACTGCCGGAACAGTCTATAAATTCAAACCTGAACTTTCCAATACAAACGTGCCGAGCATGAAAGCGCGTAGGCTCATCTTTGTACTAACAATCATTATGCTTATGATACTCGTACAGATTGCGCAATGTGCAAATGATACTCGTAACAATAATAAGTCTAGGAGATGTTAGTTCTTAGTGTGAGGGTCTAGTAATGGTGTAATTCTTATGTGAGTAGGTGAATGTTATGCTTGCATGTGAGGTACTTTGTAGAAGAACTTGTCAGCGGAACAGCCTACGACAACGGGAAAGCCGGCTAACAAGATTCTGCATAGTCTGCGGTTTAAACGTTTCATTCAGCAGCGCCCTAGCCGGAAGAAGCTGCACAGCT